TCCGCCTGGGCCGCTGCCGCTGAGAGGAGCCGGGCGCGCGGCCGCTACTGCCACTTTTATAGTCCCTGCCTCTGCCTCGTGCCCGCCCCCGCCACAGACCCCACCTCCTAACACGCCCCTTGAGCACGTCGGGGGCGGAATTTAACGCTGTGCGGACTGCGGCTGCGCACTTCGGGCGTTGGGGGCTGTTAGGCGATGCCTCGCGTGCGCTTGCGCAATAGGGCACCCTGCCTGGGAAGGGAAGCCAGGCTGTCTTCCGGGTTGTATGGTCTTGCTGATCCTGTTGTGGGTTGCCGGAGGCTTGCGAGGCAGGCGGGATTTTGGCACCAAGCTGGGTCCTGCCATATGGCCCCATTGAGGGCAACATTCCTGGCCTGTTGGCTTGGGCCCAGGATACTGATATTCTTTGGTGATGCTACTGCTCTATAACCTGCCGTGGCTCCCCCTTTCAATTCACTGATGCTGGCTCCGTCTGGCTCTCTGGCACACCCCAACACATTTCGAAGCCCATCCTCTTCCTCCTAGTGCAGGAGGACTGGCCGCAACCACCTGCATCCTAACTGAACTGGGCACCTTTGCTCAGGGAATAGGCACTGTCACCCACAAGGGAGCATCCCCAAGCGTTTGCCTGGTTGTTGGCAGGGACCAAAGGAGGTAGTAGAGGCTGAGATCTATAAGGATCTAGAACAACATCATGTCGGGGTAATTAGGTCTTCCCAGTTGACTGGAAGGAGCCCCTGGCCAGGGGCTGGTAAAACCCAATCTGGCTAGGTCCCCGGCCTGCAATCCCACAGCAGATCCTTACTGTATCCAAGAAGGCCAGGAGCTCAGAGGGGCTGGAGCCCCACTGACCTGAGGCTGAGGGCACCCCTTTCCCTGCTGGGCTACCTCTGCCCCCCTTGTGTCCTCAAGGCCACCCCTGGGGCATTTGAAGGGACCTCCCCAGCCAACCCGGTGCTATTGCTGCTGCTCGGTGAATCTTGGCCATAGATGGTTAACCAGGAGGCCTGGCCTAGCCCTGCCTGCTGTTTCCGTGGAGCCTCCCATTGCAGCTCCAGGTGCTGGGGTGGGGCTGCCAGACTTGCCTGCCCGGGAGAGGCCTTGCTTGCCCTTCCTGCAACCTCCTGTCTGCCTGTCCCCTCCCACCTCTGCCTCCTGGCTGGGCCCTGATCTTTATGTGCAGGGTCACCCTGTGCAGACCCAAGCGTTGCCCTCACAAGTGTTCCTTGTGGCTGTGTATGTTTAAGACACCTACGGATGGGTCACTGCTTGCCTCCAAGTGTTACTTCCATGAGAGCATAAATCTGCCCCCTGCAGGTCCAGATCCAGGCCCCAGGCCAGCACCTAGCACAGGGGGTGATGGCTGAGTTTGGCTGAAAGGAAGATATGTTTGAGTGTATGTGTGTGCGTATGTGCACGTGCAAATTGCACACACACACGTACGAGTGTGTAAGCAGATGGCTGCCGGGGGCTTCAGTGACAAAGGACCACAAGCTGGGTAGCTTCAATGCCAGGAATTTACTCTTTCACATCCTTGGAGACCAGAGTCTGAGATACAGGGCTATGCAAAGCTGTGTTTCCTCTGAGGCTCCTGGGAGGGTCCTTTCTGCCTCTTCCAACTTCCTGTGGCTCCAGGTGACCCTCGGCTCATAGCTACAACTCTGCAGTCTGTTTCCATTGTTACAGGCCCATCTCCTTGCATCTCAGAGTCCAAATTTATCTCTCCCTCCCTTTTTTCTCAAAGCTGGGACTTGAACCCAGGGCCTTTTTCTCACTAAGCTATATCCCTAGCCCTTTGTATTTTTTGAGACAGAGTCTCACTAAGTCACTAAGTTGCCTGGCTGAGCTTGAGCATGTGATTTTCCTGCCTCAGCCTCCTGAGTGCTGGGATTACAGACGTGCACCACCATGCCTGGCGTGTACACCCTTGTGTATGTATGTGTGGCTGTGGGTGTAGTTCTGCTGGTCACCCTGTTGACTAGGAAGTTACATTCCATCCATGCTGTCCCCTGGGAGAAGACAGATTAGAGACTCGCAGAGACCAGCACTCAGCCTGGACAGGGGACTGGCCAGAGCAAGGTGTCACCTCTGTAGGCAGCCAGGCCCAGACTTGGCCTGCACGGGGTGGGACAGCCAGGGAAGGGGGTGGCCCTCTGCAGGCCCTTGTCACATAGCCCAGCCGCTGCCATCTCTTCCTTGCCGATGCCTGTTCACAAGTTGCCCTCAGAGACGCTGGGCTCCCAGTGGCCTCCCACCCCTGATTCTCCTGCCTGCTGTGCCTAAGTTGCAGGGCTCTGGGAGGGGGACCCCACCTTGCCCAGGGAAAGGACACCGGGCAGCTCTCAGGAAGCCCAGGCCCTGGCCTCTGTTCCAGTTTCCTCCTGACTTCCCAAGTGTGGCCAGGCTGGGCCGGGCTGGGCTGGACTGCGCTGTGAAAGTGACTGAGGCAAAGGACAAACAGGCACAGGGCACAGGGCAGGCTGGGCATGCAGGACCTTGGAAGGGTCCCTTAGGATCCAAGAGGGGACTCCAGCCTGGGAGGGGACTCCAGATTTCTCTGAGGAACTGGCCAGGCTGAGGCCACCAGAGCAAAAGAAGGTCCTGGGAGGGGTTGGCCCCAGAAGGAAGACAAACAGGAAGCGAGGTAGGGTCCCAGACATGGGTGCCAGGATCCTGCAGCAGTTGGCACAATTCCCAGCTCCTGCGTGGCCCCCTGTGCAAGTTCCTTGATTCCCCCTTGACAGCCCTAGTTCCTCCCCACCTGGGCACTGGAACAACAGCACCTGGGACAGGTGAGAGTCACCCGAAAGGCTTAGACCCCTATTGTTCCACTTTGGGACACACTGGTGACAGATTAGGTCCAGGGTTGCAGAGGGGGCCAGAGTGGTCTCTCAGGAGAGCAGGTATATGAGTGGATTCTGCTTTGTTGCCTTATATGCCCCCCATCAGCCCTGCATGGCCACTGCCTGCCTCCTGGGCCATGCTCAGCCCCGTGTCCCCTCTCCCACAAGAGATCAGCAGTCAGCCTGGCCCGGTCCCTGCTCCAGATGGCCTGCAAGTGTCCCGTGGCCAAAGGTCCCTGAGATCCAGGCAGAGTGACATACAGTTCTCAAAATTCTTCTGTGGGCCAGTAGCAGGGTGACCCAAACCCCAGTACCACCAGCCACCCTCAGGGCCATTTACCAGGGACCTGCATCCAGAACTGTGTCCAGTTAAATTTATTTTTTTAGAAAAGAGGAAAGTTTATTTGGTTTAGTTAGTTTTTGGTAGCGGGGATCGAACTCGAGTCCTTGTGCTTGCTAGGCAGGCGGCAGAACAACTGAGCTAAATCCCTGGCCCAGGAAAGCTTATTTAGAGGAAGGTGTGCTACCAAAGGAAATGGGGTGGTGTTTCAATTTTTAAAGATAAACTTGAATTTCAGGTAATAAAGTTCTAGTACATATCCTAAGCATAAGTAAGTGCCATGCATATAGTATGCAGTACTATAATCTCAAGTATGAGTAGATCTAAAATAATTATTTTTGTTTGTTTTTTGTTTTTTTTTTTTGAGACAGGGTCTCACTATGTAGTTGAGACTGACCTGGAACTCACTATGTAGTCCAGGCTGATCTCAAACTCACAGTGATCCTCCTGCTTCAGCCTCCTGAGTGCTGGGTTAACAGGCGTGTGTATGTTTAAATTTTTAATTATTTTTATGCTCCCTTTCCATTTATTTTTCATTTTGAGACAGGGGGTCTTGCTAAATTGTTGAGACTGACCTTGAGCTGGAAATCCTCCTGCCTCAGCCTCCCAAGTACTTAGTGACTAAATAGAGTTAATGATGTGCACCCATGGAACCTGGTTGTCCTTTATCTACTAACCTATTAGGGCATGAGAGTAAAGACTTTTCTCCTCCCCCTCCATAAAAAAATTACAGTGCACAGGTGAGGGTTTGGGGTAGTTCATCTATGAAGGCAGGTGTAGATACTTAGGCAGCAAACCTGTAGCCGAGCAGAGGAGATTGTTTGTACATGTGGGAGGGGAGATGCAGGGTGCAGGACTGTTTCCACTTCTATACACACACACTCACACACACACACACACAGGCAACTATGCAGAGGGTGAACAACACGGGTTGGTGCTATGGGGCCATTGCTGGGACTATTACAGTATCCTCACGAAGCTGGGCCTTGCAGGCCAAGGCTGGGCTCCCTCCTGCCCTGCTCAGAGCGGGCACCTGAAGCTCAAAGTACCTGGGAGAAGTACAGTCCAGGTACCCAGGCCTGGCACCCAGCTTGGTGCACACCCCACTGTATTGGGGGATAGGAACCGCAGCCAGGAGGGTCCCAGCTATGTAAGGGGCACAGTGGTGGCACTGCAGGCCCCCTGCTGGGTTGGCTCACTGGCTTTGGGCCCATCTGATGCAAGTGGCTGTAAATGTCCCTTCCTGCCAGCT